CTTACAACTCATCAACACTCACTGATCAATAGCTCATTGCACTTTTTTGTAATTCTTCAATAATTCACTTCAGGACTTCCTGACCGGCTTGATTGGGGATGACAGTATGATTTTCGCCCACACTTGCTCCCACCTTCTCTTGTAGATCCATTAGGGCAAAAAGAGAAGGGATCGCTGCTTTCGACAATTACGCTTATTCTTAAGTTTTCTATTCGACATGCTCAAGTATTGGGCCTAATTCTTCTAAATTTTGTTTCAATTCGAAAAAACCACATATAACATTGCCTTAAATTGATCTATAGTCAGCGTGCTACTCATTTTGCACAGAGCACCCTTTCATGGGTACATGCCCGAGAAGAGAATGAACCCGCAAGGAGTCCAAAATCTTCACCATAGTAAACTGTTCAAATCATGGATGTTCTCATAGTAGACTGGTCTAATGGCTCTGTTAGTTCGCCCAGGTTAGTGTTCGTCTAGATAACGAGAGGGCGAACTGATGAGCAGAAAATTTTTCAATTTTCAATTTTTCTATTAAGCCATGCTATTATGTTACACATCAGCGCCTTTTGCGTTTGATCTGTGTGACTTTTTTCGCACCCTCTTACAACAAGCAGTACCCTGTGTTAGCGGAGAAGCTTCTATATAAAGCATATCGTTAATGTAATATATTAGTTGTTTTCTACTTTCGTATAAATCATAATCGAATGGCTCCGATAACGCTACAAAACACTTTAAATAATGTATTGCCCAAGCTTGCATGCCGCATGATTGCCAGAAAAACGCATAAATGCCCTTTTTGCTCTCTTCAAAGGTTTACGAATCAGTAAACAAAGCTCCAACGAATACTGCAAAAGACCACGTAAACTAACATTGAAATGGGTCATCAAAATTGAATGAAAAAAGAAAAATCCGATCCTTCTATTACGTTATTTCAGCCATATGCGCCAATTGTCAACAGCCAGTTAGTGGAACCAATCCGGGATGCACAGCACTCAACCAGGTATGTCTTGCCTATTTTTAACACAAAAGATTACGGTACTCACTTCCAAATTTCCGCAACTCCTTTTTCCATTGTCTACTAGCGTTTTTTCGAAACAATTCAATCCATCAGAAGCAATTAAGACAGCCGGAGAAAAATTCTTGAAGCAACGCAATTTTGCAGATCATTCCCAGCCGCGATAATGTCATAAATGTGTAATGTTGAGTGTTTTTCTTCTGAAAATGTTTGTTTCTTGATGAGACACGGTGATTCCGTAGAAAACATACATATGTCGTCGTAACTTCTTCAATAATAAACAATAAGCAACCATTAGCAAGCTGTAATCGCCAAAATATTGGGATCTATTGAAAACTATTTTTAGTGACTTCAAGACTTTGTTAAGAATTTAAAGCTTGACGACAAATTTTTCAGTTTTTAATTTTTCTTTTTCGATTTTGCTATTCAATATGTCTATTTCATAGCTATAGGATGCCCAGCAGCTGACACTGACAAACAATCGTGTCTTCGAATGAAAAACAGACCATTCATCATTTTCCTCTCATTTTGCATTACTCTTCCCTCCTTGAATTTCAATGCGATTTGTAGGATGACAAGAACTTTAAAGAAACTGAAAGAGACAAGAGCTACCAAGATTCGAGAAGAGTCCCAAAATCGTTGCTCATGAGTTCCAAAAAACAGCCCGATTTTGTGTTCCGAACCACTCTCGCAGAGGCCGTTCCGAACCAGGCCTCTGAAACTCATTAAGGATGTCCCGAAACCATCAAATTCCAAAATTGGGGTTCAAAGCGGATGAACCGCTTTTCTGATCGACATCATTTTATTATTATAAAGGTAAACGCTACCATCTGATTGTGAGAAAAGGGAGCTTTCTTCCTATGAGATCTTCAATGAGTGACTCTCCGTTTGAAATACTCGAACCAAACTGCTTTGTACTCTTCTATACTTGCCTAGCTTCAGTTTGTCGAACAGAAAAAAAACCGTTGCTTCGGGTGGAGTGGAGTGCCACTCGAATCGTGCCCTCGAATCCTCTCTAAGAGTCTCAATTGCACTGACGGGCGGTTTCAGAAGTTGCACGTGGGATTACCTAGAAAAGCTCATGGCCACGAGATTGTCCCACACAGAAGCATGCTCACATATTGGCCAGTAGTGCAATTACTGGTGCTTGACCAGAAGAAACATCTCCATTGTGAATTTATCTCATTGGAGTACGCCATGCGTTCTACCTCTGCTCAAAAGGACTCTTGTACGCACAATCAACTTACGCAATGATTATAAAGGGCGGTCGATATCCCGTTGATGGTGAACACTAACGTCTCATCTACTTGGAATCATGTAGTAACCTTTGACCCAGAACGAGCTTAAAACTATATTGCTCCTGGATTTGATCTCGAAGAGTACAATAATATGCCAGTCACCATTCAGACTGAAAAGTATTTGGAAAGCATTCTAAGGAACCTCTCCAATGTCTTTCCTTCCCCTTCCTCATTTTTTTGGGCTGCTTTTCCCCTAACGAAAGGGAATAAACTATCCTTTTTGTAGTCTGAAGGGCAGAAAAGCCCATTTTAAGTCAAAAGAACCTGCGCGCGAATCATTGGGGGCACTGGTGATGACACTCAGAATTTTTTTTCAAACATTGAATTCCAAACGTTGTAAATCCGTACGATAGTTAGTACAGACTACTCTAATGGGAACACAACGAGAATTATCCTCTCTCTTTCTTCCCGTAGCCGACATCTCCTATCACCTCGGTATCTTCATGCATCATAGGCAATTCGGTCAAGACGTGATAACGGATGGGGGATATTCGGAGTAAACACTTCGATGTAGTACATTCCTGGATGAGAATGATGCCTCAACACGCCTTCAGGAGAGCTTATAAAGAATACTCGTGAAAAACCACATTTCCCGCCGACAATCCCACTCGGAAGCTCCGTATCAGAACCTCTAATCGCAATTCTCTCTTCAGATCTCAGTCAACAGAAAGCAGTACAATTGATGATAGATGTAAAGTGCTAAGTTCGACTTTCTATGAAAGTTGGCATGTTTTTCAAATGTGAACCCAAGTAGCGATTGAGATTTCCAACTAAGATTGATTATAACGTGTACTTGGCTCATGTTTCAGTGAAGTAGCTTCTCTGAGGGCTGGGAACGGGTATTTCAAAAACTACTCATACAAAACTATTTCAACCCATGAAACCATCAACTAGGTCAAAAACTATCCGCAATCATCCAACATTAGAGTGCTGTAAAGACTACCTAACAAAAATGTAGACCAGTAGGCGCACCCGCCATTTTAGGGAGATATTAATGCGGATTTGATGACTTAGTCCTGATCACCCACTCGAGGATCACCTGCCTGAAGAAACTTTGTGGGGTTGCCAAGTCGATCAGAAACATCGCAAAATCTAGGTTCTCATTCAATCTATGTTTAACCGAAAAAGAACACAGGACAACATCAGTTATAGTCTTGGTGGCTATCCAGCAACCCACTGGTAAAGATATGTGAGAGCACAATCCGCTATGAGACGTTGTTTTGCAATCAACCTACCGAGCAGGTACTCGAGGGACAAGAGAGCCGATATTGAGGTAAAGGCAAAAAAAGCCTAAAAAGCAGGGATTGACGTCTTCAAGAAGCGGTACTTCTCGAGTGGGTGTGGTAGGTGGAGATTGGTGGCATGTTCGAATCAATCAGCACAAACTCATCCGAAAACCTATTTTATCGCGTTTTTCTTGTACATAATCAACTCTGTTAAAACAAAAGAGCGGTTTCTTTCCGCGAGTTCTCGTTTTTCTATGCGCGACGAAGGACTCTATTACTACCACAAACATCCCTTACTGATAATGCCGCTATTTTGCCTCTTTGCTGTCATCAACTTACAATGTCATGCCAGTAATATCATTAGGGCACTGGGCCAGTTAAAAATGATGAACATCGTAAAAGGATCATACGCCATCAATTTCTACCTGAGAACGAGCACTGTATTGAGGGCTCTCTAGAGAAGCATCAGGAAATGAGTGGCAACTTTTTTCCCAGATTTGCAGCCAGCTATCGGCCGAAATTCAGGTGTCAGTCATCGTCAGATTGAAGGGGCCGATAATGATGTTGTCAAGTGGATTACTGCTTTTGCTCATCTAACCAATCCATCCTCGACGTCATGACATGCTTCTTCACCTGATGGACCGGCCCCAACTTGATTGCGCGTTTAACGGACATGTCTTAGGACCTACTGATAGCTATTGGAAGGAGAATCACAGAGACCATTCTTCGGCATAGTGGTCCGCCTATAGTGAACGAAATGTTTTTGCCCTCGCGAAGGATCTCCACTTTCGCTCTTGGTCATGCAACCACAACTGAACAGACGAGAGCGGATTTTGAATGCGACTTCGTTCTTATACTCCAACAGAAGACTGGTACCATTAGTAGACGTGAAACGCTTGATGATGGTATGGGCGAAATTCGATCTGGGAGCCATTTTGCCGAATATTGCGTGTGGTAATGGCGCTATTTGTTGCGTTTTGCCCTATGACGTACGTTCGGGGTTGAATTGAGACGTCCGCAAAAACTTGAAAGTATCGCTACTCAAATACTTTCATATCACGCTTTTCTGTAAGACAACACAGCAACAATGACGACGCTCCATCAAAAAGGTGAGGCTGACGGGGAAGATGTAGAGCTGATGTTGCCACAGATTCTTATCATCAAGTTCCTAAGACGCTTTCATTATGAAACCAACACTGGGCTTCCCTATGTTGCCCTATTTTTAGCAAACACAGAGGCTCAAACATATTAAAACCGTACTATCAAGCTGATATAATATTATCCACATTGATTCAAACCAGGATGATATATAGCACTTAATATAATAAAAAGGGTCATACAATTACTCCAATCATAAAAGTCCAACCTAACCAAAAGGTTTCAAAAAAAATGAGATCTTCGCAGTTGTAAATGTGATACTCGTTAGATTAAGTGCCTGAGCCATTAAAGTTCAATTTTCAGATCTACCACATCAGTTGCTTCAAATGCAAGACATGCGGTAAAACTCTAGCAGGAACGTCGTTCTACAACATTGAAAACAACCCTACATGCAGTGAATGCTATAACGTACGTTTATTCGATTATCAGCATTTACTACATGTTATCATAAGCTAACAACTTATATCACTATTTACCATTGGTTCACACCCATTGAAAAAAAGCTTCACCTAGCCCATAGAACTTTGGTTAATTCTTTTTTAATGAATTCCTGACTCTTCAATTGGTTGTTTTCCTCTTCTTTGGACGGGGTCCTCTTATCAATGAGATTATGGGTCAAGCGTCATAAGTCGGGATTAGCGTTGACAAAGCGTTTGCGGGACCTTCTATGGAGAACTAAATTTCGTCACAAAATATGAAGGGATCAGCCTACGGGTTTGAGCAATTAAATATGTCGCAGCGGTTTGCTTGTTCCGAGCTGTATATCCCTTGACAAGTCTGATTAACATTTACCATTTTCTCAAGGCTTCCACGACTGGCCCGCTCAAGGTCGGATACTACTCATGAACAGTGGGTAACAGTAGCACCTCACTCCGCGCAACTATCAATCCTTCTTATGAGTATGCAGACTTAAGCATGATTCCAAGTGCCCTGACTTCATGCTTTTAAATGTCAATTTGCATAAAGTCCCGCAGAGTTGCTGAACGTTGATGACAACGTTTTCGATTACCCCAGCTAAAAATGGCTTCACTTGAGACATGAAGGCGTAGTAATTGGTAATGTGACGCAGTTACATTTGCTGAGGACATCATTTGCCAGCTGCTGACGCTATTTTCGCATCCAATACTTGGCCCTGAGGCGCTTACGGAGGCAGACAGATCGGAGCTTTGGCCGCTAGCTGATGTTGGCTTATTCTCATGGGAATGGGTAATCATACACCAATCGTTTGTTACACTCGAACCAGCAGCAACGAATAGGGTACGACTATTGGGAAGTACTGCAGGCCGTCACGTTTTCTGAACTCATTTCTGAGGGTCCATTTTCATTTGGCGGATGAAGTGTTTGCTGTGAATCACTTCCAATGTGCTGTGACCTTGAATGAAATCTTGGAGCAACACCTAATTAGGTCGTCTATCTCGGTAGAACGAGGCTCAACGACTTATGAATAGCCTACCGACGATTCTTCCACGGCAAAAATGCGGGGCTATAATATTCTGGTATCCTTTACCAACTATTGTGAATGCAACCAAAATTTCTCTGGCTGAATATGTGAACTCCGAGTGAACCCTGCCTCTTTTGATGTAACGCTTCGTTCAACGGCAGCTCATCATTCAATCCAAGTGACGTTGCCTACAAACGGTCGGCAATTGAATGGTCCCAGAGGAAATGCACTTCCTTACGCTGCGATCTAAATGAGTGAGAAGCGCTGAAACATTACGAGTGCTTACATAAACATCACGCTCGATGCCGTAATTCCTCGTGTAGAAACATTGCCGACGACCTAATCAGGGTGACAATGGATAGGAATTAATGCTAGGACGGGCTTATGCAATCCATAAGTTTACGTCACTATCGAATAGGCAGAAACCCTTCTAAACCGTAATTCGAACCAATTATTCTTTTTCGAAGACCGAAATCTGACGGCCGATGAAACAACCTGTTCGGATGACGGTGACTGTTACTGGAAGCCTCAACCAACAAAATTGCTGGGAATAAAAAAACACAGCTAATCTGCTTATCAGCAATAAATTATGGAAATCTGCAGTGATGGCATTGGAAACATTGTAGCGGTGGTTCTAGTGTTGTTCACATGAAGCCGTCTTGATTAAAACCTGAATCGTTCGGTCAGGGCAGACCTGGTGGTTGAAATGGCATGCGATGGTCAGCTACATTTATACTATTAGCCGCGCTAGATCCTTATGCGTATTCAGATGACGAAGAGGGACATTAGATCCGCTGATGAGTAGAAACAACGTTAACTTGAACAACCACAAAGTTTGTAGAAAAAGATCACCCCGCGATGGGACAAAAACGGGACGGACATGGTGCAGGCGGACTTCCTAGTAATGAGCTCTATGGAATGGTTTGAGTTCTCCAAAACTGAGCACACAATCGCTGAACCTATTGCGATTTGCAAAGGTGGTAGGTACAATGACTGGAAAACCCGCCAGTCATTTGACTATAATGGAATCGAAGTTCGAATCAGGATGAGGCAAATTATGTCTCCTGTTTTTTGTATTCGGCAGAATCAAGTCATACCACGCTTCAACCCTATTTTTCGTAACCTTACTCATCCTAAAGATAAAAAAGTAGACCCAGCGAGCCTCCCAGCAAGCAGCACATCTCATAGTATATTGATCTCTTTTGTAAGTGCTCATAGTTCTTAACTCTTAGTCCTTAACTAAGCAGAATTTCGACGGTGGCACAGAAAGTTTCTTTCCAGAATACCCTCGAAAATTGTACCAAGTGCCATGAAAAGATTACTGATCGGCTACTACGAGCTCATGGTGGTGTATGGCATGTGAACTGTTTCACTTGTGAGAGTTGCCAACGATCACTGGACGGTATTCCATTCACATCTGATCCAAAAGACAATGTCTACTGCGTGAATTGCTACCAAGAGTGAGTCATGCTTTGATTAATACTTAAAAAATTTTTAGCAAAGGAAAGCTGGCCTCTGTCGACTTAGTTCCCATCTGTATCATTTTTTATTGCCACCCTGCCCCCATTGCACTGATCTCCAGAATTTGCGAACAGAATGATACTGCGCATGCAAGGATTCAATATGAATTGGTCACGATGAGCAAATCTTCCAGGGTTATGGATAAGGATAGGTTACATTGTTTCAAAAAATTTATGAAGCGGTTTTCGTATCATAAGGTTGATAATTTGTTGGGGTGCCACTAAATTAATTACTGTAGGTACTCAAGCTTCACCTCACCCCTACAACCAATCCCTGAAAACTGAACTGAACCCTTCCTCCTCTACTGTAGCGATTGCAGGACGCCCTGTTACCCTACGAACACGTCATGAGGGCGGACTCAGTTTCAATTACAGCGCACATCCCTAACGATACCATCGTCAGATTTATAGCCTATCCTTTAAAGGCTAGTGTAGGCAAAGAACTTGGGACTAGTAAAGTGGAAGAAGAAACCAAAAGATTAACAGCCTCGAAGAGCACCAGAGTACAAAGAAAAACTGATTTGGAATTGAAGATTGGATTGATTTGAAGAAAACCCTATGTCGAAGAGCAAAACTAAAGAATTCCCTGTGTGACCACACTTATTTGGCCCCAATGGTCAAATTCAGAAATGAACTAGTCCTAAACTTCAGTTGTTTACAGAAAGTTCGCTCCACGTTGTGCTGTGTGCAACAAGCCGATAGTCCCAGTCGAAGGTGAAAAGGAATCGGTACGAGTAATAGCTATGGATAAGTCATTCCATCCATCTTGTTATAAATGTGAAGACTGCGGTATGCTATTGTCCAGTAAGGTAAGCTGTCCACGGTGAAGCCACATGATAGCCACATGAAAGTATGTAATCGTAAAGTTACCAATTTCAGGTTGAAGGTGCAGGCTGCTATCCTCTGAATGACCATCTCTATTGTAAGACTTGTAACATGAATCGACTACGTTTAGGACAGACTTAATACTCAGCCAACCTCCTACCTATCTATTTTTCCTTACACGGACACGTATAGATCCTATGGATACGCCATGCTATCGAATTGATTGCTGCCGATGTTTCCTTTTGTCTCTTGCACTTCTTTGCAGCCATGTAGCTCACCCTGTGCATCTTTGCAAACTCTGCCTGTCGGTCTTGCTAGATGTCGCTAGCTGCTGTCCAAGAGAGTGGTGACGAATGGTGAACGTCCCGCGTACTTCACCTCAATCACTCCGCTCTTACCGCACCCCCTTCCACGTTCCCCTATCCCTATCCGCACTTTTCCTTCTCGTTCTTCAGAGGTAAGTAACGATGACGTTTCTGTGTCCGATGTTGTATATTATATTGGTCAATTAGTGTATAATATAGTATAGTAATGAACATCGCTTTTACCTGTATGGCATTAGCTCAGCATAATCAGACGCAATTGTGCAATGCGTACGCCGTCGCACTCTTTTTCTTTTATCATTTAAATTTCTGCTACTGTACTGTGCACACCACTTGAATAGACACCTGATGTACTCTATCCACAGATATTGTATAATAAATAAAAGTGGCGCACATATATTTCCGATAAAGGTATTGGGCTTCACACGCTGATTTGAAACAGCATCACGCTGGGTAAAGAGAGGGGCGTTCGATGTTCGCGGGACACCCGTAATTTTAAAAACTACAGAGCGATTTGAAAAACTGCAATGCTCGGGATTTCAAAGAATCAACGCTGCACTGTACTAACATACTTAGGCTGCTGCTGTCGGATGACTGCTCTTACATTTGTTATTATGAATAGCACGGGCAAATACAGATGAAGCCATCGATGGCATCGCTGACAAAGCTACGATCACCTTTTTTTTACTACTTAAGAAAGCATTCTAATAAATTACCAAACCAAATGGACGACCCTCCAGAACTATGATGAGGAGCCAGTGGCAACTAGCAACGAGGTATTTTCGGTCATTCGGTTTCGGTCATTGTTAGTATTGCTAAATTGCATTTCCATCGCATGACACAGGGCGCAATGAGTGCTGATTTGCTAAGCCTGCATGGATAGAAAATACGTACATGATCCTTCTTATATATAAAGCAGTAACTTGGTTTGTCGGTTTGTCGGTATGTCGGTTTGTCTGTATGTCGGTATGTCGGTTTGTCGGTCTGTCCGTCCGGGACTTTGTGATTATGATAAAGGTAGTGATATGGAAAACTTATTCTTCTTATATAAAAAGCAGTCACTTTGTGGGTAGGCTAATGGAGTAAAGTGAGCACTGCGGAGTGAAGTGAGTAATATGAAGTGAGGTGGATGATTCAAATTGTGATCTCTACTGTACTGTAATGGCAGTACTTCGACACTGGTATACACATATTCAAAAAGAACGATAAAAATTGGAGTGAGATTCTACCGTCTTAATGAAATGAAATATTATATCCAATGCTATGTCAATCACAATGGTGAACGAATGATACAGCTATACTATGATTGCTCTTCTGTTTCAACTATATAAAAACTGATCAAGACGATGAGTGCACTCATTCTTCAACTTGTTGATCAGTCGATATGCCGTGGGAAGTCTACGAGCCTCATCAATGTGCGAAGTTCTTCGGCTCAGTGGAGCTCTTGGGGCCTGAGGATGAAGACACAGGGATGAAGAAACCTGGCAGTGGTCCAGGACCTGGAAGCCAACAAAGCCAACAAGGCCAGCAATGCCAACACAAACATGGACCAGGCCAAAAATGCGACAAGTGCCAGGAAGGCCAACATCAACACGGGCCAGGCCAGAAATGCGAAATCTGCCAGCGAGGCCAGCCCCAAGCTGGACCAGGCCACAAATGCGAAACCTGCCAGCGAGGCCAGCACCAAGATGGACCAGGCCACAAATGCGAAACCTGCCAGCAAGGCCAGCCCCAAGCTGGACCAGGCGAGAGAAGCGAATTTTGCATGCATGGCCAACCACTCGGGCCGGGCGAGAAAAGCGAATACGTCAAGCAGGAGCAGCACCAACACGGGCCAGGTCAGAAATGCGAACAATGTCTGCGGACCCAACACCAACACGGGCCAGGCCAGAAGTGCGACCTTTGCGCCCCGTCTGTCAGGAGCCAACCAACAGAGACACCATCGCAAGCGAGAACTAGAAAAGGTGAGTTATTGAACAAGCAAAGCAGAGTTGGATCAACTATGATCGACTTCCGTTCGACTTTGGTATACAAAGAGTTTGCTCAAAGATTAGCATAGATGTTATCACTTTTGAGCCCAACCGCCAGTATCACTACTAACCTATTCGTCTCCTTACATTGTTAAGAAAAACAGCCTAATGCACACCTATGAATATTCACACCACCTTTTCGAGATAACCAGACGCATTTGTTCAAACTTGTAGTTCAGTTACGGGTGTGGGTTTTCTATCCAAACGGCAAGCCACGCTTGCCGCAAGCAATCACTTTCTGTGAGTGAGAAGAATTCAATCTTCGATGGCAGAATTGAGAATTTACGTAGAATTTTAAAGATGGCAACTGTCACCACATTAATTAAACTCAAACGGTACACTCCACAATTCTGCTTGTCCTTGACCCCACGATTCGACGATTCTGAACAATAGCGTAATGAAACCTTTTTCTAGCTCGCAGCATTCGATTAGCCAAAGGTCGATCGTCTAGACTTCGCCAAATCCGTGTAGATAAAGAAAATTGATTTTTTATATGAGAAGTTTTTCCAAACACCTGAACAAGAACAGTTTGTTCTACTCGAAAGTGGTGCGACGTGTGCGCATGATCATTTAACAACAACTAATCCTTAATGAGCGCTTTTAGAATCCAACGACGTGCATTGCAAACATGGCGTCGTCAGACACAAGTTGACAGCGCTGGGCATCGAGTTCGACATCGGTGCACGCGCGACGGATGCCTATTGACTACGTTCGCGCCGCCGCTGACAGATTTGTTCACCGTTTAGCAAACGACAACAATGCCGTCCGTCCAGCGCAAAGTCTGTAAGAGACAGCCCGGACGTCGTCAACGACTATGGCGGGCGACCAAGGTTGTCAGCAGACGATGTCCAGCGCTGTCAACTTGTGTCTGGCAACGTTGCGTTTTCGTTGAACTCCGAAAGCGCCCAATCCCTAGGTGACCGAATTTTGGTAAGTTGCTTTTTACTGGAAAGGGTTCCTTTTTCCTACTATCTCAGTAACCTAGTCTATGCAAGTCGCGTGGCCACTCTTAGACGTCCGCATTGGTCGCCAATAACTCCTATCGGAGAGGTGTGGTGCAGTAGAAACGAAGTGGTGTCGCGGTGAGAGGGGTGCCGCGCGCGAACGAATGTAGAAGAATGAAGCAGCAAGTAAGAAATTCAGCAACAAAGGAACTAATAGTAGAATCATGCCATAATCAATAATCGCATAGCGACTGAGTTGTATGAAGAACGCTAGAACCGTTAATACAATACAAATGGACCGTGCGGTAGATCGTTTAAACAAAACCGTTCCTACTGCGCGTCTCCCCCTATCGCAGATACGCTCTATCTTGGCATCAGGTCAATAATGCCGTCCGTCCATCTTTTCCGAAAAAGCGGCGCCGCCTGTTCTTTACTTTGTGAGCCACTCGTGATTTCCTTGATATGGAGGTCTCGTCTTGTAAACCTGTTGGTTCATTATGAGTAACCTAATGCTGTCTGTGCTAAAAATTTGAGTTTGATAAGGCGTAGTATAGAATTGCAGGATCATGGAGTTCTCTACCAGCATTGCTTTGAATCATTCGATTAACGAATGTTACGAATGTCAACAATAACTAAACATCCGAGGGTTTCGCTGGATACTGTGTACTCTTCAGTCGTTTGAAAATTAATCAACCATCCTACTATATATAACGCTCTAATTGTGTGTGTGTGTGTGTGTGTGTGTGTGTGTGTGTGTGGGAATCCATAACTCCTGTCCCCGTATACCTAGAGCGTTCAAATTTGGTAGGAGTACAGGCTGGGATTGCTCATGATGAATGGCAGAACTGGACTCCGCCCTGAAGGGGGGGGGGGGGGGGGGG